CATTTCTGGTAAATAAAGTCAAATCTTTGTAAACGATTGTCAGGAGTCGGCAGTGTACCTACATCTAAAGGAAAAAGGTCACTCCTTTAACCACTTGAAGACCAGGTGTTTAGACCCCCTTCCTGGCCAACAGGACACTGGACAGGGAGCAGGAGGGGAGACATCTATTGTCTGCCACATACAATGCTGTTTTAACACCTCTCTCTGGGCAGGTTAATAACACCTCCTAGACTCCGATTATGCAAATGCAATCACCACCTGGTTGTGACTAACAGATTATGTGGATTGGAGCGACATTCATCATATTTATTCCCAGATAATTTCTGAATTGATAAAACTGGTTGGATGACCAGTGAAACGTCTTCAAGAGAAATACAGCAAGTCCAGTTGCCTTGACTTATTTGTTACAGATATAGTTTGTAAAAGAAGAATGAATCTCATCAGTGTTACTCAGACTCGGGATTCTATGTAAAAATGGTTAATTCCAAGAGTTACTCAGAGTAACCATTTTTAGGAAGTACTCCGAGGCTATGTAGATGGCACAGCAGAGGAAGGGTTAGCGAACACCCGCTTGCCGATCCTCCCACTTTGTTGTCAGCACGGCAGGGCTTTGCTCTGAGCTCTTAGCCCTCGTTCACACCTGACCGTTTTGTAGCGCGTCCTACGCTCGACGAACGCTCTACAAAACGCTCAGAAATCTAAATTGCATTGTAGTCAATGGTCTCGTTCCCACCTTTCCGTATTTCCGCCCGTCCGAACGCGCTACAAAACAGCCCACGCCTGAAAAGGTCCCGGAGCTTCTTTTCGGCATATTGGGCCGTTTTGTAGCGCGTTCGCGCCCATAGACTTCGACGGGAACGGGCGAAATGAGTGTTTGAGCGTTTTTGGTCACAGAAATCGCGCATAGAACGCGCGTTCCGCACATGGCTACAGACCACTCCCATCTTGCAGAGAGTTGTTGCTGAAGACAAGATGGAGGATTCAAGCACATTTGGGCTGCTTGATTCTGAGGCCTTCATACGCCTTGTGCAGCAAAAACCATGTCTATATGACATGAGACATGCAAACTACAAAAATAGAAGAATCAGGCAACGTGCCTGGCTGGAGATCGCTCAAGCAACCTGGCCGGATTGGGAAACCTTCCCAAAGCAAGCAAAGGTACATGTCAGCAATGTTTTTATGTGTTGAATATTTTTTTGCAGAATGCATGCACTGTTGTTATGCGTCATGCGTGCATTGTTTGCATATGACTTGTGTTCATTATTTACGTGTAACATGCGTGCATGTCTGCTATGTTTTCATGCAGAATGCATGCCGTGTGTACTGACATGTGCGTATTATTTTCTTCTGACATGTGTACAGTGTATTTATGTCCCATGCGTGCAGTATTTTAATGTCACATGCGTGCAGTGTTTTTATGCCCCATGCGTGCATTTTTTTATGTCACATGCGTGCAGTGTTTTTATGCCCCATGCGTGCTGTGCTTTTAGGTCCCATGCGTGCAGTATTTTAATGTGACATGCGTGAAGTATTTTTATGTGACATGCGTGCCGTTTTTTTATGTCCCATGCGTGCAGTGTTTTTATGTCCCATGCGTGCATTTTTTTTATGTCCCATGCGTGCCGTTTTTTTGTCCCATGCGTGCCGTGTTTTTAGGTCCCATGCATGCAGTATTTTTATGTGACATGCGTGCAGTTTTGTTATGTCCCATGCGTGCAGTGTTTTTATGTCCCATGCGTGCATTTTTTTTATGTCCCATGCGTGCAGTTTTTTTGTCCCATGCGTGCCGTGTTTTTAGGTCCCATGCATGCAGTATTTTTATGTGACATGCGTGCAGTTTTGTTATGTCCCATGCGTGCAGTGTTTTTATGTCCCATGCGTGCAGTGTTTTTATGTCCCATGCGTGCAGTGTTTTTATGTCCCATGCGTGCAGTGTTTTTATGTCCCATGCGTGCAGTGTTTTTATGTC